TTTTAAAACCGAGGCAAGCTACTGACGAATAAGTTGATGATATACAAGGATTTCAGAAACCTCGTTTATAGTAAGCTTTTCGCAAATTCTACGGTCTTAACAATGTTTGAAAATATAATCTGTCGTTGGGTGGTATTTTGTCTTACATGTTTAATACCATTTGTTAGGTCATTGTGTTGATACTAAATTTGACTACGGAGCACTCTGTCTACCTTGTCAATACAGAGGGCTCACGGCGGGTTTGACCGGTCGAGAGGGGGTGCTTACTCCTTTTAGACACCCGAGCCAACCTCTGGTGTTTCCAGGGGTTCGTGTTTTTGCCCTATTCATTGATTCATTATGTTTACTGGATATATTAGATCGATCACTGTTCATTCTCATCTTTACCTTAAACTGATTTTTTAACCCTAGATAAAATCAAAAAAGGATGTAAAACCAAATGTGTATTGTAATTGTACATTTATATCCATTACTAAAGACTTTTAAGCTTCATTTATTGAAAATGTGTACAGAACAATATTGTTATATCGAATCTCAAATTTGATCCAGATTTGAAATTTTGAGAACTTGAATGTACAGTTTAATCCTTCCTTTAACATGGTCACTGTTTACACACTTCATACACTGGAAAGGTAACTTACATATACAAGATTTTGCAAGTTCCATAATAAACATCATAAAGAATCCTCATCTATATTTTACACAGTATATGATACGTTAACTTAACGAAAAACAGAACAAAGAAGTGGTATTGTTATCACCGTAAAAGAAATTGATGTACATAACCGTCAATTCAAAGAGAATTAACCCCGAGAAGGTGTTATGCAACGCCTCATAAGAGAATAGTAAAGTTGATTTGTATGTCACATTATTTGAAGTTAATATGGTATTCGATAAAACTACAATATTAAAACATTCAATTCTTCCTGAGGTTTGTTTTTATTACTCGATCTGTCTATGGGCAGTGAAGAAGCACAAAATCGTATCTGTCTTGTTTAAGAGCACTGCAACATGAAAAAGATTACAAAGCGATAAAAAAGGAATGGGCTTATTATTCATGTATTAAACTAACTTCGACGGCCTCTTATCCCAACGTGTGGTTAAGGGGTTAAGGAATTCTAGTAAATTATGGCTCTTACCCGATATGTAGACACAACTCATAAAAGCCCAGAATCAGTTCTGGAATGTACAACTTTAATTAAGAATGCACTTTTGAGTTGACCTCATTAAATATATGTTTTAAATACATTGTAGATATTTTAATACATTTTTATTCACTAATAACAAGAAACCCTATCAAACAGCGTCGATTAGCTCGAAGAAATACACGAAAATTCAGTGTAATTAAACTGTAATACGTTCACCATAGAAGTAACTTTCGAATACCTTCATCCTTGTTGAAGATTTTGTAAATGAGAACGCGGTTAATACCAGCAGGAAATTCGATTAAACCCCTCTTACCAGTTCCAGCACTGCGGTGGGTCAGCATAAAACGTTTGACTGGTTCGTGGTTAGAATCACAGTCAAGGCCTATTTACACGGTATGATTTGTAAGATGTGACTCGCCACATCTTACAAATCATACCGTGTAAATAGGGAAATCATAAGCCAGATATGAAGTCAGATGGAGTCAGATGGAATAGAGACATGTTCTATTCTGTCTGGCAAGTCAGATGGTTTCAACCAATCATAAGAAAGGTCATAAAGGTTGATCTAAATTAGGTACTATTAACATGTGGATTTTTCCCGAACTTTTGCTCCAGATTAATTTTAAGATTAATGTGATATCTTACATGACCAAATCTTGGGGGAATTTTTCATTCCATGTACTCGAATTGATAATGGCAGGAAAGTGAAACTGAACAAACAGATTGATTAAAAAATCATACTCAGAAGTAAATTTGTCTGAAAAAATGAAACCATTTTGGGTTTTCCGTGGCCAATTCTTTACTTATTGCATAATATGCACCATGTCCTAACCAAGGTCTTGCCCATGTTCTTCTGTGTTCAATTGGCAAATAGCTGCTATCATTAGGAAATGGAAAGGTAGTATGTAATTGCCGTTTTCCATTCTTAAATTGTAAACAATAAGAAATTTGGAGGGAAATATTAATGAACTACATATCTGACAAATCATACAATGTAAATGAAACACTGGAGTCGGATGTGAAATCACATCTGAAATCACATCTTACAAGTCAGACCGTGTAAATAGGCCTTCAGGCTTTAGTTACAGTTCATTTGACATTTTCTGTGTGGAGGAATTATTTGTATTCATTTTCGTCAAGTTTGTAACATTTTACACGAATGTAGTTACATGTATTTTGATATTACAGATGCCTTCAACCTTCAGATCGATAGTACGCAAAGATATTCAATTTCTGCTACATAAGTATGTGTTGCATTGGGAAATATTTTTCTTTATATTAAGCGGTATTACATCTCAAAATGTTTCATCATGATTACACTCTTTACAAGCCTGTAGATCTCGTGTTATCTGTTGCAATCTAACAATTAATTAAATCAGATATAATATGTACATGTAATTGTAGGCAGTAAAGGGTTTACACGGAAGTTTTTTTTATTATATATACAATACAAATATGGCGTATATAAAATATCCAGCACGGAATAAAATTTCAACAAAACTGAAAAACACGCCATACACAGCTGTCAACTATTCCCATGTATATGTATCATACATTCGGCATCAATTTCAGTGAAGACTACACTAGCGTGAAGTGTATTTTCGAATTTTCATGTTTATATATCATTTATATATTCTATTTTATGCATATTTAAGGAAAAAAATAGATATAATTTATTAAACTGCTTTTATTTTACTATAGTCCCTCTTTTTAAATCATTCCAGCTATGTGGAATTTCCATAATATGATTCGAATATTATCACAGAAGCTTGTTAATTCTACATGTAGATATCTTGATTTTTTCTAGTTCAGTTTATTCATTCCTTCCAAAATATTGGTACATGAGTTTCAATATAACTTATATATATTATTATACGAACTAGTCAAGATACATATACAATAAATTTATTTACAGAAAAATAGCAGAAAGTGAAATTAGGAAGGAGAAATCAGGATGGACGGACATTATTATAGATTTTCAAGAAACATACATAGTCTTTTAACATTTGTTTTGCATTGTATTGACAAGATGCCTAGGTAATCTTTTCTTACATTAAATAAAGCATTATAGAATATGATGAAATTCATCGGAAATTTGATAATTATTATAAAGTGTAGAAGTTAAGTCTTTCACAAAGTGGTATACCATGCATGTGCCTTAGAAAAGATGTGTACGAGGACTTTAAAAATTCAACACAAAAATGCTTTACTACCTGGTTTTACAACCTTTGTATAAATATATATATATATGAGTGTTTCCAATAAAAGAAAACATTCAGGAGTGGTGTTCAAGAAATTATAGAAAGATTCCTAGAATCAATGGATCATCGTCCTCGACATGAGTACATTTTTAATTAAGCTAGCAGTATGGGATTTTTTCATGAAAATTGCATAGCTTGCAGAACTCATTGTTTTTACGTCAGTAGTGCTACAAAATACACTACAATGGGTTCCTGACCAGCACGTATACTTGTATTTGCATAATTAGCTTCTAGAAGCTTTGTATCATGCTTCGTTCGCAAATGTCATTGCACGAACATGGCAGGGTTCAGTTACAGAAGAATCCCCCATAACTAATTATCAAAACTTGAATAGAAACCCATAAATTTAAAATTCATTTGATTATATTTTATACCAGTATTCCCATCATGTTGATGATATCTTCTTATTTTAACGTAATTGATTTTCCGTCTTTACGATCTTTAATAAGTGGGTGCTGCAGCAATTATTTCTTGTAGACTTACTTCGGTCGTAAAGTTTGTGTATCTCGTGATACCAAGGAACTAGCAAAATCCTCCTCATTAATGAACGCTTGGAGATCAAATACATCTATAACCTGCTGATAATTTTACGTTTTGGGAAAAAATTTCAAAGGGCATAAAATTGTTCTCACAGACAGAAAAAATGTATAAATCATAAAACAGACAGGGGCGGATTTAATATGAAAAAGATATCATTATGTAATTATGCATTGAGGTGAACGAAATTTGTTGGAAGTGGTAAACACAGTCATCATTTAAAATATTAGTATAATATTTACCAAATAAATCATTCAAAAAGATAAGTAAAGTATTTAATAAAATGTATTGAAAATTGTTACAAAACAAAACTCTGCAGCTAATATAACGCTGCCCTGTATTAATTGCATTTCGTAACACAGTTAAAATATTGATAATGGAGTGTGTTAAGTACAAGTGCAAAGTAATGACGAATTATATTTTCATAACATCTGTAAATGTTTTTGATTCTATTGATACTTGTTCCATCCTGTCTTAGTTGTGCACTGGTATTTTGTATGGGTGTGAAAAATATGGCCAGTTAATAGATAGAATTACAGCGAAAAAATCACTGCATCTTCACCAGAAGGCATATTTATTGACTAAATCTGGCAAATAAATCCCTTTAAAATCCGTAAAAACTCAAATATTTCCGACATTCCGGTCTGCGTTAAGCGATGTTTTGGTACAGTCATTATGGTTTATGGCTAAAAAAGATAATAATATTATTTATGCACTATGAAAAACCCAAATCTTCACCAAAGACTACAGCTAAAATGTGTTGACACTTGCTCATCAAATTCTAAAGCAGCTCAAAATCGACCAATTGAATACCAAAAATCTCGAACATTTAATTTTAAAAATCAAAATTAAAATGTTTTTCTTCTTGACCCGAAAGCAGCATATTCGTGTGTACATGAAGCACCTTTCTTTTTATGTATCCAAGTTAGAAATATCGATGATTCTAGTTTACATTTAACAATTCACATTTCACGTTCATGTACGAACAGAGTTTGATTATTGTTAGAATTTCAACCACAGTAGATAGTTATCTCAAATAAATTTGCTTTTGCAGGTGACTTCCGTAGCAGTTTCTGTGTTTACACTAAGTGCCATCTCAGTGGAGAGATGGTACGCCATTTGCTATCCACTCCGCTTCAAAAGTACCAAGAGGAGGGCAAAAATAATCATACTTGTCATATGGATCATCGCCTTTCTGCTTGCCTTACCCGAAGTCATCGTCGCTGACCTGATACGCTTTGTACAACGTTCGTATATAGATCTTCTGATCACGTGTCGACCTCACTGGCCCGATATGTCCAACCAGGTGGTATACCAAGGCGTACTTATAGTGCTTATGTATCTACTCCCGCTAGTTTTGATGACTGTGACTTACAGTATGATTGCTGTGGTCCTGTGGACGGGCAAAATTCCGGGTGCCATAGAGTCCGGTAGGTCTTTCAAAATATAAACATAAATGTACTGAATGAAATGCCTTTAATCTGAACCAAACAACACTTGTTACATCTAATGTGCCTTTGCAAAGTCTCCACATCGTACTTATAAATGTATCATGATGTGAAGAATCCAGTATCTTTTTACCATTTTTTTTTTTTTTTTTTTTTTTTACATTAAACTTCAATTTTTAAGGACACACCCTGAAAATCTTCACTGAAATCTGTGAAATTTTCAAAGGTCTCAGTGTTTCCGTTAACGCATATTTCTGCGTAATTTACTCATAAAAAAAAAATATACTTTTTACCATCTAAAACATCACCCAAAGGGTCATAATAATGCAGAAAAATACGAAAACAAATTTTAAAAATCGAGTTCAATTTTGTTGCATTGATTGAACTATTTTATTAATTTACATTCCAATTTCTAGGAATAAATCGTTGCTTTACATGTAATTTCAAAGTGGCAGTAATTGGAATCGGCATTTCGACGTCAACAATATATTAGATTTTTTGAACAATCTATCTAATTCTTAACAAAACCGGAAGTCCGGATAAAAAATGTCGCATCTGACATCGGCATATTTATTTCAGCTGGACTTTGTCAAAAAGGCTTATGATGGTAATAAAAAGGTGAGCAAAGCTCAAATCATTAATAAACAATTCAAACAACTTTCAGATGTTCTCTTTTGATTGACATGTATTCCACAAAACCCAAAGCGGAATCGGTAAAATGTGTAGAAGTACAATTTTTTTTTTCATTTTTTAAAAATCAAATTATGATTTTAGAAAGCATAGCTAATATAAGAACTGTAAGCAAAACCAGAATATATTTTGACCCTCGAAAATTCTCTTTGACTTCCAAAAGTTTACTTCAAAGGGTCATAATGACCCTTGGTTTTCAAAGTTAGCGGAAACACTGGGTCTTCCGCATAATATACATACAAACTAGCACAGCAACCATGACATACAAATGAACTGCATAGAATTCTGTGCATTTATATAATGCTTATTAAAACATACAAGGAATGCTACAATGTATGTGAAATGTGAACTCCACGTCAACGTCAATACCTTAAAATCAGATTTAAAAAATAGATCAAGATAGCTGCCGTTTGTATTTCGTATTGGTGAAGATATTTAAGGTATCATGAAATATTCTTTATGCTAAAAAAAATCACAATCGACCAATTGACTTGTTTAAAGCAATACCATATACATATATGAATAATTTAGATCATATTTGGTACCATTATCAGGGGTTAAACGTGGGTACTAATTAGCATAGATTTAGCTTAACAAAATATACAATGATTGACTGAATTATGGCAACTATTAACTTTTCATCTGTCTTTTATTATTTGTTTAATCAACACATGAATGGTAACCTTCTTGCATTATTTCAAACATAGAACCAGATATGACATATATTGCATATTATTTTCCCAGGAAAATATATTCAGAGGAAGTTAATATGAAATAAACAGCATGTATGTAAGTCACTTGGGTAAAAACTACACTGATGAAAAGGAAAAATGAAGTAATCTGTTATTTCCATGCAGAGCTTCAGACCAAAAATATTTGATTGAATTAGATACACATTATTTCACGCATCTTCGATTTCTGCAAAACGTTTATTGTATAGATTTGCAATGAAATCATGCAAGACTTGCATGTGCGCCCTGGTTTACCTTTGTTTTGTATAAATCTTGCAAATAAAATGCATTTTAAATTTTTTTTTTTTAAATTTTTGTACGTATATCAGCATGACGTTAACGTCATGGAACTTGGATGAACAATCTTACCCGTGCTTCTTCCGAACTCAAGTGTAAGATGCATTTATTCATTGTTTTAACAGTATTTTGGGCTCGATTTTTCCATTAGTCGATTCTAATTTGTTTCCCCGTCTTTAGTAATCAATCCTAATAATAAAGAATCTCTTTGGCACAATACCCAGAAATCCCAAGATTACAACAGACAGTGTCATCCTTTTGACATCAATACATCTCAAAGATCTACAGATGCTTCGTATTCTTTGAGGCCATAATTGGTCATCGGCCACAAATAACTCGTCCATAATATTTTATCCTCAAAACCACTTTTCAGTATCCTTGAATGCGCGTATATATTACGTATAGTCCTCTTTTATTAAGGTTTAGATCGATGCAGTGAGGATTTAATTTTTGAAATCTACGAATGACAATGAAAATAGGGAAGGAGGAAATGACGTCAAATTGAAAGGATTGTGCAATCAACAGACCCAATAACTCATATAACGATGTATTTTTAAGAAGAAAAAATAATATTTGCCACACGAGTATACGACAAAGTGAATCCTGGATGTCACCGGAAATTATACAGAGAGGACGTAATATTTTAAATACTTAATTTTGTTATCCTTTTGTACGAGTTAATGGTAAACAAACTTATTAAATTTCATTTTGTATGATTTGTTATTTATATGACATAACATAAAATCAGCATTTTTACATAAAATGTTTTAACTAAAAATAAATATAATCTTTTGATGTTTGTTTTTATCCGAGGTATTATTTTTTCTCAAGAAGTCAAACATGCAAATGCCGACTTTGGTATTTACTGTTCAAACTATAACATTGATGAACTGAATTCCTAGCAAGTCAGTTTTATTTAGATACGCTACAAACTCCACAGATAACAAACTAAGTATGTAAATACAAGATAAACCCATGTTGTTAAAGATAAAACCAGTGACATTTTGCATTTGGAGCAGTCTAGCAACACTCCGAATAGTGATTCCTTGGATTCTTGAAATAGAAGATAAAGTTCTAATACCATTTTACAATTCCGTACATCTACTATTAACATGCAGATGTAATGGATACTGTAACATAATTAAGATTGATTGATTGATTATTGCTTAACTCCAAGTCTGCAATATTTCAGCCATATTTATTCAAGTTTATATGACCGTTTTTTTTTTTTTTTTTTTTTTTTTTTTTTTTTTTTTTTTTTTTTTTAAGTTTTTGTTTTCTCTGGCGGCCCCCAGTGAGTCTATTCTTTTTTCGAAATCCATAAAAACGATCTTTTGCGTGCCATGGGAGGTAGGAGTGTTTTCCTTGACATGGGGCACCATTTAACGTCCCACCCGACGGATTTAAAATATGTAAACAATTAAAATATAGATTGCTCTATGTATTTACCAACAAAATTGCTTGCCCTATGTATTTACCAACAAAATTGCTTAAGTTATGTACTTCAAAATTTTACTGTAAAAATCAGTTTCATATAAATAATCTAAAATTGTATTAACATAAATGTTTGTGAAAGGTTCATGCATCGTTTGCACATTATTATAAAGTCTACTTCGAATAGGCGAAAAATTCCAAAAGAATTTGATTTATAGTTAGCGAATAGTCACAAGATATACATTCTGGTTGAAATTCTCCGTTAAATTAGTATGCATGCGGGCTTTTTTCTTTTTAATGACCAATACGTATTCTTGAAATAATCACTTCGTCCTGCATGACGTTTCAGGCCGAAGTCGCATGAATAGTTAACTTTGTTTTCTATAGTGTATCACAAAATTCCCAATAAATTTGCCAATGGGAATTTAGATGAAGTTTAACAAAATATTTCAGAGCAGCGTTAAGAGTTTTGAAAAGAGTAATATACACCCATATTGCTAAATATTATAAGAATTCAGTATAATCATGATCTTTTCTTTGACACCTCTAAACACTGCGATAAATACATAAAATATGTTTGACATTTGTTAAGACATATGATCTAAAAACGATACCAAATAACAGATTTAGGAAAACTGTTTATGAAAAAAACTTTTCAAGTGATGAGTTTACATCTGTAACAACCACCATATTGCCCTTTCGGCACGTGCAGACGATGGTTTTGATATTGACAGCGTGTAGTGAGGTCCAGCATAGTATTCCGTGTGGTGCTAAAACAGATAACCTCTACGGTCCACGTGCTCTGTATCGATAACTTAACGATATAATTGCTGGAGGATTGTACAATACATGTCAGCACTTGATATGAATGGCATCTTTAGAAATATGTTTCAATTAACCCTCAGTGTAATAAATCATTGCGCACTGAAATAGTTTTCTTGGTTTTTGTTTCTTTCTTTGTAAGTTATATTCTTAAGTTAATTAGGGTATTTCTCAATGACACTTTGTACATCTGTCAGGTAATTGCTCTTGAAATATATCTACATAAGACAAAACGTTTGAAATAAATAGCAAAAGAGATAATTTTTCATTGATAGAGATTTATAACACCGAGTCTTCTCGGTATATATATAAATTTTACTTGGGATTCTCATAGCAAACTTACCAAGAAGTCATGACACAAACCTAAAACTTTTTTATTGATCCCTTTCTTCTTAATGTAAAGATTCAATATTACTTTCCATAAATGAAACAGTTAATACTTGTTACATTTGTAACATAATCTGTATTAAATCTCCTTTATTTTTAGCCAATAAACCTATGATGGATAGCAAAGTAAATAGAGCCGAGGAACAACTGGAATCACGGAAGAAAGCCGCCAAGATGCTCATCACGGTCGTAATTGGGTTTGCCGTCTGCTACTTTCCCGTTCACCTGTTTAATATTCTCAGGTAAAAAGACATTATTTAATCATGACAGGAATTTATGTCTTAAAGTGGGAAAACTTATACCAGCTCTAGAGGTCTTGTATCATACTTGAGGAAAGGTTATTTCAACACATGTTAAACCGATTGATTATGCACTTCTCTTGGAGAAGCACTTCTATCAGCATCCGCAAAAATCATTATTTCTAATTTATTGGCATCATTTACATAGGGTGTTTAGTTTAGAAATGCGTCTTCTGAGATGGTTTAATCTTAGGAATAATGAAAGAATTTCCATGTACAATTTAAAAGTTACAAAGGAAGAAGTAAAAGATTTCGAACATTTCCCGCGTATTTGCAACACTCAAGACATTTCAGACCTCCTCCGTTGAGATATGCAATCAATCAACGTAACACTAAATAAAAGCATGCACATTCTTGTAAAATTATTTTGAAAACTGTTTTTATCTGAAACAATCCTTTTAAGACTTCAGCCTAATTCATGATACTACAATAATAAAGGGTAGTCTGCCCATTTAACTATTGTTTTTTTCATATAGTCACAATATACATTAAGATTTATCTAAACGAAAGGAAAATGATTTCCTTAATTCCTTCAACTCGACATTTAGATATATCGACGACGTATTATTAATTAACGACAGTTACTTCATTTCATTTGTCAATTCGCTATATCCCAGGGAACTTGAAATAAAAGTTCACCACAGAGTCTGACACATCTATTTCATATTTTACTAGAAAAAGACGTTAATGGTAACCTAGCAACAAAACTTTATGATAAAACTTTCCTATCGTCAATTTTCCTTACTCGTGTAGCAATATACCCTTATCACCTGCAAATGGGGTTAATATCTCTTAGTTGATTCGATACGCAAGAGCATTCTCTACGTACGATCAATTTTTAAACGAGATATGCTATTAACCAACAAGTTGATGAAACAATGATATCAACAGTCTCGTTTTAAGTCATCATTTCGCAAGTTCTATGGTCGATACAATGACCTTATCAGCAAATACAATCTATCATTAGGTCAAATGCTGACTGGCTTCTTTCATACTAATTGTTATTTACACACTAAAATTTGTACGGATTTTTTTTCGTTCACCCGGTCATGACAAGGAGCACACGGCAGGTATGACCGGTCGACAGGGGATGCTTACTCCTCCATGGCACCTAATCCCGCCTCTGATGTGTTTGGAGGTCCGTGTTTGCTCTGCTCCCGATTTTGAATTGTTTAAATGGACTATGAGCTTGAATACTGTTTGTTTTCTCCATATTTCTTTCTTTTTAATTTCAGATATGCAAATGCGTTAAAATCTGCTCCACCGCAATCCATTCAGTTAATGTCTGTGATTTCCCACTGGCTACCGTACCTCAACAGCTCTATAAACCCCATTATCTATAACTTCATGAGCGGTAGGTATTTTTTTCGACATGAAAAAAATTAATGCATACATAATCTAACGAATTCATGAAACATATGGTATTTGAATTGGACTATTTGCAATTTTCATTTTGGTGACAAAATATCTTTAAAAAATTTTAACACTATATCCAAGTGATCAGCAAATACTGATTTATACGTTTTCCAATATTTGTGGGTTTTCCTGGTTTTTCACCCAAATGCAGTTAAGTTGCGCGAAAGACCATGACATAAATGTCCACTATATTTCATACCTAATGATAAAGGAAACATTTTTGGCAGTTTTCTGTATGTCAATACTTGACGAAAAAAAAATATTTGAATGAAAGATGTAATTAAATCGCGAACAGAGAATTTATAAGAAAATGAAAATGTTGAATTCTATAGAATATACTGGAATTTTTAATTTTATGTATTTTTAAAAGAAAGAAAATAAAAATATTTTTCTTTAGAAAAAAGATATTTTCAACAAAAAATAAGTATTATATGATTTATTTTATGGAAGGAAATCATCAAATGTTATAGGGTTTCACGGCTATAGAATTTTGTAACATAATTTCATTGTACTTTTTGTGACAACGAGATTCCAACTATTCTGGAAAATGCTTTTTAGTATACTATTTTTCATATTTTACGTTTTACATTTGTTGAAATGTTTCGGCTAAGGTTATATTTGTCCAACATAGATAAAATTTTAAAAAGATAAATAAAAATTTCTATTTTATACGGTCAGTTGTGGAACGAGTTTTCTAGGAGTTTGTCGATACTTTTATGTTTCGAAATACCTTATAATGATATATTCCATGGTGATTTTTTTTTTGCAGGTTAGTAAACCTATATTCTTTGAAATAAAAAAAAAACTGTTTTGTATTACACTGTATATCAATTACTTTATAAATATTTGTTTTTATTTTTTAATATATTTTTTTTTTGTTTGCGACAATGAAGTTTAAGTTTGGCACAATTTGACTGAATTTGGACATTTTGCTAACCTTGATCAAAGATATGTCAAAATGATTTTATGAATTGATTTCCATCTTACTTTCAGCCAAATTCAGAAAAGAATTTGCAACTGCTTGCTGTTGTATAAAGAGAAAGAGGGCATTCAGTGTACATTATAGAAGTGGCGTGTCAACGTTCAGCAACGCCTCGCAATACGCCAATCGCAACAACAGCAACTCTTGCACGGAACAAGTCTTATTGTCCACATATACCGATAGATAATGAATTCTTTCACCTCCGTTTTAAATATTGTGACAATTAAAAATTGTGATTATGATTGTTAAAAATGTACATGTATTTGAATGTTTTGTGTATAAACATGAATTGTGAATTCAGTTATAGTATTGGTTTGTTACGAAGTAACTGTTAAAGTTCACTGTATTTGATATGTGTATGTAAATATAAACATTAAAAGTAGATGATTTGATGATGATTATTATTTCATTGTTTGCAAGGACTCATCATCTTCAAATGTTTAGGTACAGTATTACATGTACTGCTATAAATTATTTTCACATATAAAAAGAATGAGAATATTAACATAAAGACAACTGAAAATTCGCAAGACACAATATTTGTTTTTGTTAAAATTCGTTCTATATCAGGACAAATGCTAGGTTCAGTCATTTTTCAAGAGTTGTGACAAACTCTGAAGTCTAAAACGCATTTTTAACAATTTTTGACATATTACCTAGAGTATTTCTATTTTTAGGAGTGCATTTTACAAAGGGGTAGATTTATTGTTTCTACACAATTATTTAGTTTTCAAAGAATGAGTTAATGTTCTATCCTTCAACAGTAATTAATGGTATTCATGTAAAAATGTAACCTTTTTCTTGGGTGCAAGTTCTTAAGAGTCTCCACTTTTGGCTAATGTTGAAGCATACACGTAGGGAGCACATGCATCAAATTGCTTTCCAAATACTTACTAATCCCCAATCAACGGCTTTGATTCATTGATGTTCCCTAAAATACACAGAACAAAAAGTAAAGAAATGCCATCATCTGCCTCTTAAGAAATTTTTCTGCAATCATCGAAAGCTGTTTTTAAATAAAGATTTATAAAGAAAGAGAAACAGAGAAAAAGTAAATCGTTTGGTGTATTCTGGAGAATTTATTCCTCGGCATATGTTGTTTTACTTGCAAATTGTTTTGTTAGGGATGGGAAATCTGACAAATGTTACATGTTATATTATATCTTTGTTATACTTTTTTGCAAATAAATGATGTAGAAGGGAGGAAATTGATCTAAACGATTTTGTTAAGCCTGGAAATCATTGAGGATCTTTATTGCTGTTTTGTCCAGATCTACCTGGCTATTGCAATGTTCTTCCCCCAGAGCCATGTACTTTAACATCTGTGTAATGAATCAAAAATGCAGCATTAAAGACTACCAATGATATCTTTGATAAAAAGCTGCGCTGGAAGACCGGTGTTTTCTCAAAATTTGATATGAATTGTTGCCCCCGAATTCATTCGTACTTTATATCCCGTAAGAACATGCTACTAATGAGACCAATTTCTAGCTTTTTCTTTGGTCTTTTAGGTTTGACAAAATTTCTCCGATTCAAATTGAAATAATAATCATTATCAGCACCATTACGGGATATCATTTTTATTACAAAAGGAAGTGGTTGGAGTTTATTCATTTTTATTTCAGATTAGAGAGATGAAAATCACAATAACTGCATGAAAGTCAAAGCCCAGACCCCCTCCCCTTCCCAATATACGTACATGTAGTAAGAACATTCTAACATACTGTTACACAATGATCTTATTTTGACGCGAGAAAGTTAAATTGGGATGAAAGAACAATTTAAAAAATTAGTTCTTACCTCTATAAAAGTCATATAATATAGTAAGTATTGAATAAACGTGATGCTGTCGGACATAATGCCACGGACAAACCAATTAGTCATTTAAAATTTAGCGCCACAAATTCCATCAAATAGGTCAACTTGGCTAATATGGTAAAAAAAAAAAATGTATAGTATAATATTTTGAGAGAGGGAGGGGGGTTAAAGTTATCAATCTGTTGATTTGAGCCAATAAAATTCATTTTAGATCTTAAGCTTGTCAGAATACAATTTTTCTTTAAATCGTTTTAACTGTAATGTGCTAAAGCATAATAATCAAAATCACAGTCAAAGGGAAATATATTTTTTTTTCCGTATAAAATTGTTGTCGCCTATAATAGTTGTTGACGGCTGTTCATATTCATAGGAACTAAATAACAGCTACATTTTATTCTCAAAGGGAACCAAAAGTGATTCCCCGTGATTTATTAATTATATTACCCTTCCATAAGCGTTATATTATCAAATTAAATGGGGAGTTAGTGCAGACATTTATATTCTAAGGTCCGTTCGTCTTATTCTGTTCAAACTACAGTAGTCAAAGAGTCTACAGAGGAGTTCCGTTTAATTCTGGAACACCATAAGTAAATGTATATCAAATATCTCATTTATTTCCTAGTATTACATCATGTTATATAGTTTATGTAGTTAGAATCACCTGTGAGAATAGGTGTAGAAGACTGAAAGAACGGAAGATGATAACAGACAGCATGCAAGGAGTGATCTCGCAATACGCTTTTCGGTGCTTTTCTTGAGAGCTGTTGATTTGTTGCATTATCAGGGATTCAGCATAAAAACTTTAAATAGGAACACACACGGAGCCAGCCTCTTGGAATTAACTAACTAAATAAGGAATAAAAAAGGAGAATTGATTTCCTCCACATCGCATGTTGGAGATTAACTTGATTATTGCAACTGTCAAAGAAGACCTTACATAACAAGTAATTGTGTTCACAACAGATAACCAAGCTATTATCTCTAGAGGTACCATACAAAAAGTCATTGAAAATCTTCATTAGGAAAAGCAATTAAAGAAATAAATCAAATCTTAACGACAAAAATTGACATTTTTACATGGAGATGTCGATACAGACTTCATAACTCCAACTTGTGGATATTTAACATGCTGTTTTTACCTTTAATAGACTATGTGCTCTTCTTGTAGACCTGGTTTATGCGTTTTAGAGACCAATATTACTTTATAAAAAAAAAAAATACAGAAAATGCATATTATCAATATCCAGAAAATTACATTTTCAATGTATCGAACCCATTGCTCTTTCTTCATCAGAAAGTGCTTACCTAACATTTAACTCATTTAACGTATCCATACTGAAGACGATCAAATCTGACTAAAGAGTTGGTGCTATCACTAATCAGGCGACTCCAGTGAAGTTTTGCCAACTCAATAAACTAAAATGTAAAACTCATGTTCACATTTTTAAACTGGTTTTTATGGTTTAACCCCAAAGCAGCTTGCTTGAAAATGGAAACTCTCTTACTCAAGCTTCTCTTCGAATGTAGAAATTTCTGAAATTACCTGTGTTTCTCTTATTTTTGCCCTTTTAAAGAAAACTCATAGAGTTTTGGTTATTGGGCGAAAATATGAGAAACACATGTATTTACATGAACACAGTCATGTGCAATTTGAAAGTCGATTCTCTTCAGGTGTTTACATGTATTTACATGAACACAGTCATGTGCAATTTGAAAGTCGATTCTCTTCAGGTATAAGCCATAATAGTCTTTATTTTTCTGCCCTAGATCAAAATCTTGGCTTTACAGTTTCTTAAGATTTTAAAAAGATGACACTTGCATATCAATTATGATACCATCTTAGAAAGTTACAGCCTTATTATGCCACCCCGAACGAAGTCGGTTGACGTATTGTTACTGTTACCTTGCAGTATATTTTGTCCGCAGGCTTCTGTAGATAACTTGGACAATCTGAATGCAACATTCAAAATGGCCATGGAAAGGGGGAAGGCCAGTCGGTTGACATACGCTTTTGCTTGCAATAGCAAAGTATATTGAGTTTAGAAGTCCTCAGAGATGGGGACATAATAATTTTATCCTTCTGTTTGCCGAAAACTTTAATATTTGTGTTCAACTTTTGAACCATAAGTAGGTCAACTCCTCAAGATTAACATGCATATTCAACTATTAATTCAATGACCTTTAAAATTGCCCTTTAAAATTTACTATAAAAGGACCTTGTCTGTATATATATATATATATATATATATATATATATATATATATATCTGAAACTACCGATCGGAATCGCATACATACTAGATTAAGTCTGGAACCAGCGGTAGTGTAGTGGATAAGGAGCTCGCTTAGAATTCAACCATAAGACATTTACACATGATAAAAATTTCAATTAAAAATCTCTGTTCACTAAAATCTCGTCTAAACACCATATTATTACGTAATAAAGAAATATTTGTTCACATTGATCACAAATTGGCAACTTACGTTATAGATCATTTCTTGTTTTGAAAGAAATGTCAGGAGTTTGTCAAAATTCAATATAATTATGAGGATGCTGGCAAATTTGACAAAATAGATTTGTCATTTTTTTCTTATGGAAAGTATTTTAAGATATTGTCCTATTTCACATACCTTTCCCAATATATTTTAACCTCACATTGTCCCTAAAGATAAGGTCAGAGGTTATTGAACAAACTATTAAAATCATCATTTTGTGAGCATATTAAAAGAAGTCAATAAACTATAACCTTGTTTTTATAAGACGTTCTCCTTTAACTTTTATGTTAAATCTTTCATCGACATTGAGATCTGATTACAGTATTTATGCAAAAGAAAACTTTAAAACGGATATAGTTGGTTGCATACAAATCTGAACGATATTCCTAAAAAGGTGATTTCCTACATAATTCTTAGCGGGAAAAAATCCTTCGTTCATGGCAACCTTGAGATCGATGGCCTAAGGTTGAAAGTGCTGAATTAAAATTATATCGACAAGCCTTTACCTGAGTCTCATTTGGTCAAGCAGTTCTTGAAAAGAAAATTTATTAATGGACAAACTATATTCTCGCTATTTCTTAATCAATTCTTTATTTGAATGATCACGAATCCCTTTTTACTAATGGATAATTTTGCAAAGTATTGGTTGAAAATGACTTATCAGTTCCGTAGGAAAAAAATAAAAGACGATAAAACAGACAAATTAACGCCGACATTTTTCGATCAAAATATCTCACGCACGTCTATCATTTAAATGTGGTAGCAACACAACAAAATGGATGGTAAATACGTCTTCTAAAATGCAAGGAAATGCAGAAATTGGAACTTGTTTTGACGTGTAGATATATATTTACTACGTTTCTCTCCTGGTTTGATTAAGACTCTTATTATCGGTGTCA